ACCCAAGTGCTCAAGCGCCCCCCACCCCCCTCCCCCCAGTGTCCCCCCCCAGTGTCCCCCGGGCTGAGAACCCCCCCAGCTCACCACACACACCCACAAAGGGGTGAAGATGGGCGGCTGCATCGCATCTTCCCCCCGAATCCCATCCATCCCCAGCTGGGAGTACACTCAGCCCCCCTGCCCAGCCCTACCGCAGTGGGGTGGGACAGCCCCGGGGGATGCTGGCGGTGACCCCGTCACACGGCGCCGGGGCTCAGGAGCGGGGGGACACCGGGCGGGGGACGGGTCCCCCCGGGGGTCCCTGGTAGCGCAAGCGGGCGTGTTTCTCGCAGAACAGCTCGTCCCCCACCCAGAAGTGGCCTCGCATCTTCAGGCTGAGGCCGCAGTCGGCGCAGGTGTAGCAGGACGGGTGCCGGTAGCGGCCGTCCTGGATCCTCACCGCCTGTGTCCTGGAGGTGTGGGGACAGGGGGTCAGCCGAGACACTCCGCGTGTCCCCAGGGTCCCCTCCCACCCAGGGCCAGCCCCATCTTGGCGCTGGAGCGATGGCAGGGATGGATCCTGCCCCGGGACCACCCTGGTCCCACTCTCACCCCAGGACCGCCCCCATTTTCGCGCTGAGGGATCAATGGCAAGGATGGATCCTGCCCTGGGACCCCCGAGCCCCATCCCCACCCCACACTCAGCCCCATTTTAACTCCGCCGGGAGTGACATCAGGGATCGATCCTGCCCCGGGGCCTGCCCCACCCACAGCCAGGATCAGCCGCGTTTTTATCCCTGCCGGGAGGGATGTCAGGGACCGATCCTGCCCCGGGACGCCCCCACCCCTGGGAGCAGCCCCTTTTTGGCTTTGCCAGGAGGGACGGAGCCAGCCCCGGGACCCGGCCAGGCCCCCAGCCCCACTCACGCGATGCTGCTCCCGCATTTCTCACAGATGTGCAGCTTCTGCACCCCAGCCACGGGTTTGCGGGCAGCGGCCGAGAGCCGGCTGGGGAAGGGGGCCGCGGGACCTCCTGTGGGGACACGAGGTCATCAGGGTCCTGCCACCCCCGTGCCAAACCTCCCTCCGTGCCCCCCTCACCTCCTTCCTCGTCCTCCAGAGCCTCCTGGAGCAGGCGGAAGGTGCTGGATTGCCGCGGGGCTGCCCGCAGCTCCCGGTTCTCCTGCAGCATCTTGTAGACCTCCGAGTCCTCCTCCAAGCGCCTCATGGCCGGCTCCGAGCCCTGGCTGTGGGGCGCAGCCCGAGGGGAGATTTGGGGGGGGTTCCCAGCACCCGGATTCCAGGATCCACCCGGCTGCACCCCACTACCCGTCCGTCACCTGCTTCCTCCACCCCGGGAGCTGCCCCAGCCTGCCCGGCCCTCCCACGGCCCCACCTGCCTACAGGTGAGTTAACCCTTTCCATGGGCTCCCTCAGCACCCACGGGTGACAAACAGGGGTGGGGACGTGGGGCTGGGGGCTCCCCTGCCACGGTGCCCCCCCCCCAACAGCCCCCAGGCCGCTCCAAACCTGTGGCAGGTGTTGGGAGAGGGTGAGGAGAGACACCTCTCCCTCAGGCTTTCCCAGGGGTTTTGGGGGGCTCCGAGCTCCACTGAGGGTGGGCAGGGGGGTGGAGGCAAGACGGGTCCCTGGGAGCTGTTCTGGCGGGTCAGGCGTCCTCGCTCCTGGCAGGGGGAGAAGTGTTGGATGTCCTTGGGGCGCCGGGACGGGCTGGGACGCTGCAGCAGCCCCCCACAGAGCCTTCCTCTCCCCTCAGGCACCCCAAGGACGCCCAGAGCAGCCCCAGGGGCTTTCCCCTAGCCCAGGTCTCCAGAGGGATGCAGGGACGCTCCGTGGGGCAGTCGCTTCTCCTTCTCACCCAGGCTGGGGTCAGTGGGACCCCCCAGAGGGGCCAAGGCAGCACCCCCACCCCATAACCCAGCTCCTGCGCCCATCCCCTCCCCTCCATCTGCTCCTGCTTAGCGGCCCCGGCGAGGCCGGGAAGCGGAACCCTGGATAAGTGGAAGCCGATGTTCCCGGGAGCAGCTGCCACGCAGATGGGAATGAATCCCAGTGGGACCCCGGGTTGGACACAGGGACCCCCCGCCACGGAGAGGGAGAGGGGCAGCGCTGAGGCTCTGTGGGGTCACGAGGGATGAGCTAAAATTAGGCACGGGAGGAGCCGGGCCTTGGCCTCATCCCTGCCGGCATCCAGCGCCAGCCCGCCCTGGGATGTGAGGAAGAGTGGGATGGATCCAAGGGCAGCCATCCCCTCACCACCCCCTTGAGCACAGGGGCTTGGGTGGGGGGCTTCGGGCACGGCATCCTCACGTCCCCAACCCTGTGCCGGGGGTGTCCGAGCTGGGAAGGACTCTCCGGGGCAGGGATGGACCCTCCTGGACTGGGAGGGACCCTTGGGAGCCGGCACCAAAGCAAAGAAGGAGCTGGGGAGGCAGGAGGGAGCGGGCGGCCAAGGGGCGGCCGGGGCTGCGGCCAAAGGCAGCTGGGAAGGGCCGAGCTCGGGGCCGCGGCGCTTCCCAATTTGGGCTTGAAAAACAAGAAAAAGAGAAAGCAGGGAGGGAGGAAAGGAGGGAGACGCCAAGCCCGGAGCCAGCGGCTGCCCGCAGGAAGGGATGGGGTGGCCGCGGGCATCCTGGGACTGAGCTCGGGGGTGGAGGAAGCATCCAGCCCCCGGGCATCTCGATCCCACTCACGGCTCATCCCGATCCCACTCCCGGAGTATCCCACCGCGGCAGTGCCCTGCCAACACCCCAGTGCCCCGGGCTGGCGGGAGCGGGGCTGGGCCTCCCCAAACTGGTTTGGCCTCCCCAGGCTGGCGCCGCTGCCAAGAGGAGCAAAACATCCCTGGGCAGGTGCGGCGGTGCCCGTGGGGCCGGGGGTGCTGCCAGCGCGGCGGGGAGGGGACACCCGCGGCACCCACCGCAGACGGGGGACCCTGAGGGACAGCAGGGCTGGGCGGTGACGCTGCCGTGGGGGTGCAGAGGGAGTGGTCTGGGGACTCAAAGTGCGGTAGTTTTGGGGCTCAGAGGAGGGTGGTTTGGGGATTTAAAATGAGGTGGTTTGGGGGCTCAAAGGGGGAAGGTTTAGCATTTCAAAG